TACTGATCATTAAGCTAAACAGTCTAGAGCAAAATATAGGTAATATAATTGACGGACCATAATTAAGGGACGATCGATTAAAGCTGGGATAGATCGACTTGGATTCTTGCACGAAGTGCATCCCCCTATGTGGCTACACATCATTCTGTGGGTAGGTCACCCTACCTACTACTTACACTTGTTACTTCTTACAGAGCTTAGACCTCCGAGTAGCAATCCATGAATAATACCTAGACTTTAATTTTTTTCCGAGTAATATATACATCACCGACGACTTTGGTTGATAAATCGGCTTTATAATTGTGGGTTAATGATATCAGTGCAAATCCGAAATAAATATGTGTTTAAGCCATTATCGTAGTACGTGCTTTTTGACTACGTTTCATATTTTCATTCTTTTCGACGATAACGTGTTTTATAGTGCAGTTACAGGTGCTAGACGTGAACGTCAACATGAAGTGTAAGGGCTAAGTTGTAGCACGAACGAACAATTTACTTTCAGATATAGGATTGAAAAGTCAGCTCTGTAGATAAGCCGAAGTCCTCAAACTTCCCATTTTGAATGCTCATTTATTCTAACACCCGAATAATAACCAAAGTAACAGATGTACACTAGAATGCATCGTATAAATATATGTGAAGTCTTACACTTTAAATGGCTAATTCGATAACGTGAACATTAATAAAGTGCTAAAAATGTAAGAGGCTTGTGATAAAGATGGAAGTGACTCATGGAATAGATAAATAAATAATGGTTTAACAATAGACCACATTCGATATGACTTATTTAGAGTCAGATTTGTAGCAACTGAAATGGGTCGTATTTTACAATAATAGTTCTTCAACCTGCTGTGGAGACGTGTATTGACCATACTTACTCACTTACTTACTTACTTACGCCTGTTACCCCCAATGGATCATAGGCCGCCCACCAGTTTTCTCCAATCAACTCTGTCCTGGGCTTCCCTTCCCAGTTCTTTCCAGTTTTTGAGAATTCTTCTCATGTCTTTCTCTGTTTCTCCGTGTTATGTGTTCTTTGGTCCTCCTATTTTCCTTTAACATTCAGGGTTCTATGTGAGGGATTGTCTTGCGACTCAGTTCACTGCTTTTTGCAGTATGTGTCCAATCAACTTCCACCGCTTCTTCTTGATTCCGCCCCCACTAGAATCGGGTTTGTTCTCTCCCACAGTAGGCTGCTGCTGATAGTGTCTAGCCAACGATTGTTCATATATACTTGTATCTTCTGGATGGAGTCTTTCGTATTTCTCCAAGTTTCCGCTCCATACAGTAGAACTGTCTTCACATCAGTATTGAAAATCCTGATTTTTGTGTTGATTGATATTTGTCTGGACTTCCATATATTTTTCACTTGTAAAAATGCAGCCCTTTCTTTGCCAGTCCGCGCCCTCACATCTGCATCCGATCCACCTTTCTCGTCGATGATGCTGCCAAGATATGTAAAGGTGTTAACGTCCTCCAAGGCATCTCCGTCAGAAGTGATTTGGTTGGTGCGTGTTGTGTTGCATCGGAGAATTTTGCTTTTTCCTTTATGTATGTTGAGACCTAATGCTGCAGAGGCTGTTGCTACACTGGTCGTCTTCTCTTGCATGTGTTGTTGCGTGTGCGATAGAAGAGCCAAGTCATCTGCGAAATCCAGATCGTCCAGCTGCGTCCTAACTGTCCAGTTGATACCGTGCTTCCCTCCAGATGTCGACGTCTTCATAATCCAGTCGATCACAAGGAGAAAGAGAAAGGGTGAGAGTAAGCAACCTTTCCTGACACCGGTCTTCACTTTAAATGAGTATGTCAGCTGACCTCCGTGCACGATTCTGCAGTTAAATCCATCGTAAGAATTCCATTTGATGTTGACTATTTTCTCAGGCACACCGTAGTGGTGAAGAAGCCTCCACAGTGTTTTCCTGTCCACGCTGTCGAATGCCTTCTCGTAGTCGATGAAGTTGATGTAGAGTGGTGAGTTCCATTCAATTGATTGTTCCACAATGATCCGTAATGTTGCAATTTGGTCAGTACATGATCGATCCTTACGAAATCCGGCCTGTTGATCTGGAAGTTGGGCGTCTACGAAGTCCTTCATTCTTTTTAACAATACCCTGTTAAAGACTTTGCTTTGTATTGAAAGAAGAGTGATGCCTCTGTAGTTTTCATACTTGCTGAGATCGCCTTTCTTTGGTATTTAGATGAGGTCTCCATCTTTCCAGTTTGATGGTGCTTGTTCCTCGTCCCAAATCTTCTTGAAGAGAATGTGAAATATTTTCGCAGTTGCTTCCATGTCTGCTTTCTTTGCCTCTGCTGGAATGTTGTCTGGTCCTGCTTCTTTGCCGCTCTTGATTTGTCTGATGTCCATGCTGATCTCTTCAATTGTAGGTGCGCCAACATCGATGGGTAGGTCCGTAGATGCTGCTTCGATGTTGGGTGGGTTCAGCGGAGCTGATTCATTCAAGAGTTCCTGAAAGTGCTTTACCCACCTACTTCGTCGCTCTTCAGTGTTGCTGATTACTTTGCCTTACTTGCTCTTCACTGGTCGTTCTGGTTTACGATAGTTCCCGGCGAGCTTCTTTGTTGTTTCGTACAATTGTCTCAAGTTTCCGTCTCTTGAAGCCCTTTCCGCCATCATTGCTAGATCTTCCTCTATATTTTCGTTTATCAGCTCTGATGTTCTTCTTCACTTTCTTGTTGCTTCTGTGTGTGGAGCTTGTGCGGTAGCTTTCTCTGCTCTTGTTCGGCTGACATTGATTGCTGCCCTCTTGTTCCTCCTTTCTTGAATTTTTGCAAGCGTACAAACAGAGATCCATTCCTTGTGATGGTACTTCTTGTGACCCAGAACTTCGTGACACGTTGAAGTGATTGCCTCCTTAATCCCTTTCCAATAGTTCTCCATGGTTGTTTCCTTTCCATTGAGTAGATCCTGCAAGGACTGCAACTTATTGTTGAGGGCTATCTTGAATTCGTTGAGTTTTGTGGTATACCGCAGAAAGGCCGTATTAAACTTCTGTGATGCCGTCCTCCCCGTTTTCCAGTGCTTCTTTAGTTTCAGTTTCATTTTAGCGATCAGCAAGTGGTGATCTGGAGCTATGTCAGCTCCTCTCTTGGTTCTCACACCCTTCATAGTCCTTCTGAACTTTTTATTGATACAGATATGGTCGATTTGGTTCTGAGTAGTTTGATCCGGTGAAATCCATGTAACTTTGTGTATGCGCTTGTGAGGGAATATTGTGCCGCCGATGACCAGTTTGTTGAAGGCACATAGGTTTGCAAATCTCTCACCATTTTCGTTCCTTTCTCCAATTCCATCTCGTCCCATGATGTTTTCATATCCAGTGTTGTCCATGCCAACCTTGGCATTCAGGTCAAATCCTTTGTTGAGCATCTATCGACGATTGACTGCAGCCTCTTGTAGAATTGATCTTTATTGTCGTCACTATGGTATTTGGTAGGTGCATAACATTGGATGACGTTCATTGTAATGTCCTGTTTCTTTGTTTTGAAGGATGCTTTGATGATCCTGGGTCCATGAGATTCCTATCTTATCAGTGCCTTTTGTGCTTGTTTGGACAGCATCAGTGCAACTCCTTGTGTATGTGAAGCATTTTCCTCTTCATGAACAGAGTATAACAGCAGTTCCCCTGAAGCTAGTCTCAGCTGTCCTACCTGTGTCCAATTCGTTTCACTGATGGTTTTCCAGTCTTCCACAACGTACGAACGTTCCATGTACCTAAAAGAATGGTTGCTCTGGTACTGAGAAGAGGCATCGGCCCCGTGACTTCCGAGCGAACTCGGCTTTCACCACGCGACGTCATAATTCTTCTCCCAACTCCCAGGGCAGAGTTAAAATGGTTTGCATTAGTTTTTCTGGTTAGCGTATTTTCAGCAAGTTAGTTTATAGTTGGGATGTGGTCGCAAACCCCATGTCCATCCCTCCTCCTTTACCCGGGCTTGGGAGCGGCAGTAGACTCGAGGGTTCTACTGGCGGAGTTATTGACCATATTATATACTTAAATATTTACAACCCTTCTGACGATATACATATATGTCGCACAATTAGAAAAATATCTACTCTACGTCATTCTCACTGCGATTGAATATATTGTTAACTGCTTGGTCTAAATGATGATCCAAAGCTCACTGGTCACAGCCTTGAAGCGTTCGTTGTTCATGTCAAGGCCCTATATACCCAGTAATTCTATAGCTTTTCCTAAATAGTTAATTAACCCTATCGTCAGCATTCTGATAAAAAAAGTGGAGCAACCTAGTTTCAGGGTCGCTAGTGAAATCACTGTGGACCGCGAACGTATTAAAATTTCATCGGTGAGACCATATTTTTAGGACGAAATTCGACAAGAAGTAAAGAGTTCTTTAAAATTTGAACCCTTTACTAGGCTCAACATAGATTATGGAATTAATGTGAGGAATTGAGATTCCACGTTTAGACTGGGAATTAGACTTGGAGTTTTTATTACCGACCTGCAACACCGCTAATTCTAGAGTTTTTTGTGGAATAATAAATTTTATCGGCAAGTAAACCCAAGAAGTAAATGGCCTTACAAGTCTTCAACAATAAAGTCATTTTTTTCATTCTAAATAATAATTTCCATTTGTTCATTCTATCAGTTAGGCTTACTTATTCTATTCCAAACAGTCCCCAGCTATGTTTTCTTTGTGATTTTCCCTTACCAAAAGAACAAAAATCGAGTTCAAAGAAATCCATCTCTTTATGCAAGCTGGTGAAAAAGATATTGGATATTGGACTTACAACAATCAAATTCTGGTTTGCAAGGTTATTTACTGGTTATCCAAGGTTGTGTGACGTAGTTCAGTATTCTGATCTCTCACGCTGTCGCACTTCAATGCTTCACAATTCAGTATGTTTATTTTATTCTTTAACCTTTATTTTTTATGCTATCTTGAACAGCTATGAGTATTACCACTTTTTACTTCGCGGTTTTTTAGTTCCATTTTGTCAGTATATACACACTATAGATTGACCATATTTATCCTGATTGTAGTCTCAAGTTATTTTTATGATAATCGATCTGCTTTCCATGTGTGGAGAACGACCCTTGCTTGTTGTGTTGATGCATCGACCCCCTACTAGATTAAGCAACTCGGTCCTGGTTTCCTTTTCCGTTGTCATTAAATGATATGCCCGGTCTTCGTGTCAGCCTCCAAACTTTGGCAATATGTCCCAGGAAATACCTTTCGTTTCACCCTGAGAATGTCAAGGAAGATCCTGACTGTTGAACAGGTTAGTGGTTGCTTCAGTGTGTACTCAACCCCCTGTTAGCGTTTGTTCATCATTCATTTCTGGCCGACCGTTCTAGTCTACCATGCTTTCTTGATAGATTCTTTGCTGCACTATATGGTTCACTCACTTTCTTTTGTATCTCGTCCTATTGTAGTCAATATATTTTCTACGTATTTCCGTTTGTCAATTCTGATGTTCTGAGATCTTGTGTATTTCGTAAATGCATTGGATTTCTCTGGTTTTGTTTTGGCTATCATTTGCTATAGCTTACCCCTCAAATCTCGCCCAAACCGTTTACTGCTGTCCACTGCCTGTCCTGGTGTTCATTGAGTGCTAACACCTAGTATTTTGAAACTTGTATTCTTGATCGATCTGCTCTTCTGTAGCTGTCACTATTGGATTATAATTGACAGTTGCGTCTCTGTGCTAATGCGGTATGACAGCCTGAACTGATATACTTACGGAGTTCTCTGTTGTAGCTGACTCGCTGGTCAGGTAGAAGTCATGTAAATATTCGTATTCATTTTCGGAAGGAGGGAATGCTTTCTCTTGACTATGTTGCTAAAATTACGCAGATCTACCAGATTTACCATTCTCAATTCCTCCTGGTTCATGTTCGTTATTTTTCATACCAACCTTGGCGTTTAAATCCCACGTCGGAATGATCAGGTATTTCCCTGTGAATTTCCCCAATATGGCGTAGAACTTCCCTTAAATCTGGTCCTTGTCACCACTACCACCATTCATAGGTAAGTAGCGCTGAATGTTATTCAGGTAATCCGTTCCTTCTTTGTTTTAAACGCAGTTTAGTGATTCTTAAGCCTTTAATTTATCATTCTGTGAATGTGTTTTGTTTCTTTTGAGTATCAACGCCATCAGCCACCGATGGAGGCGTTCGATAGCAGACTGTCGCTCGTCGTGGGGCACATGTTTAGATTCAAATCATGCCCTAGTGCGAGCGCGTATCTGTTTAAGGCTTACTGGGCGTAGGAAAGACACCGTAAGGAAGCCTCTTAGGGTTTTACTTAATGATAATAAGGCGAAAAATATATTTCAGTAACAGCTAGAAAGACAGTTAGGCGACCATTTAAGTGATTCCCATCCGGAGGCAGGATGGAATGATATCCAAAAGGCTGTGGAAACAGCAGTGATATCTGCTAGTAAGGTTGACCATAAGGCTAGAATAAAGCCGTGGATCTCAATAGCATCTACCGAACTGATGGATGCTCGAAAACTCATCCTGCCTGGCTCTGAGGGCGATGAGGAGCGGAGTCAGCTTAGACGTGGACTGACAAAAAGCCTACGCAATGATCGAGAACAGTGGTGGGTGGCGAAAGCGAGAGAGATGGAAAAGGCAGCGGCGATCGGCAACAGTAGACAACTTTTCCGACTTAGCAAACTGGTTTTAGGAATCCTGGTGTGAGTGAGACTATCTCAGAAAAGGATGGGACTATTAATTATTCTCAATCCAGGAGACTGGATCGATGGGCAGAACACTTTAGGGATCAGTTCAACTGGCCTCGAGCCACTCTTCGGTTACCCACGATCTCCAGTCATCCTGAATGGCAAATCGACGTAAGTCCCTCTAGTCTTAATGAAGTTGAAAATCTGAAGCGAGGGCGAGCTGCGGGTCCTGATAGACTGACCCCTGAGATATTTAAGGATGGTGGTCCAGTTTTATCAGCTAGGTTGACCGAGATCTTAGGTAGAATCTGGGAACTGGACGTAATCCCATCCGACTGGTCTCAATCACTGATTGTCCCAATCTATAAGAAAGGACAAAAGTCTTCTTGTGACAATCACAGGGGAATAAGTCTTACTAATATAGTTTCTAAAATATTAGCCTCAGTAATACTTCGACGCTTAACGAAAGCTCGTGAAGAGCAAACTCGAGAAAACCAGGCTGGTTTCAGACCTGGACATGGTTGTATAGACCACATCTTCACACTACGACAGGTCCTGGAACACAGACACACATTTAGGCGTCCTACAATAGTCGTGTTCCTGGACCTAAAAGCGGCGTTCGACTCAGTGGATCGTGAGGTTCTGTGGCAGTGTCTGTCAATGAAAGGTGTACCAAAGAAGTACATTAACCTCATACAAGCTCTCTACTCGAACACCACTGGTCGAGTGAGAGCTTATGGCGAACTGTCACCGGAATTTTTCACTTCAAGTGGTGTCCGTCAGGGATGTCCACTTTCCCAATTCTTGTTTAATTTTATCATAGACATGCTCCTAGAAATAACCTTATCCTCGTCTGAATTTTCAGGAGTAGACCTTCTACCAGGTGGCTCGCTTATTGACTTAGAATATGCCGATGACATTGTCCTACTTGGTGAAGACGCTGACAAAATGCAGAGTCTTCTGACTACCCTAAGCAACAATGCAAGCATGTTCGGGATGCGGTCTTCCCCACCGAAATACAAAATGTTGCTTCACTATTGGGTTGCATCGGCACCTGAACTAGTGATGCAACGTAGAACTTCATACGTAAGTACATCAGTTCATGTTGCCATACCACATCGGCACAAAGATATAATTGTCAATTCAAATCCAATAGTAGAAGAGGTAGTAAAGGTATTTGAAGTAATTGGAGAGGTTAGGATTAGAAGATATTCAAGAGTTAATGAGAATAGTTTAGAAAGTCAAAACTAGAGTTGTTGAAGAACCCAGAAGATTAGGATTAGATAGAATACAAAGCATAAATGCACCGGCGCCATTGCGAATGATTTTGAGCCATGTCATTCAAGGTCTCTAACCATCGATTATTATCATGTCGCGGACCCCAACCAGCTAGTCGACAACTACCGACATGGCTAAGTCCACTCGTCAATGATTTCATGGATTTCTGTTATGTTTTGGTTTGGCCGCCCCTAACCGTACACTAAATGCTCCAACATATGGTCTAGAACTGGGTTTCAAGAGACCAGGAACGACGTTTCGTAAACTCTCTTCGTCTGCATTAGCGGTGCAGTGAGAAAAGGGACTGTGAGTAGAGTTAGTCGTAGAGATAAGAGAGGTATGTGTGGGTGTAGGAAGGATTTGATTTTGACCAATTTGGTCTCGCGTGCTGTTACGGGTATGATGGCGGTTGTAATTCCCCGACTGCCCACACACTGTGGAAGGTTGTATCTTGAGGAACCTGAAAAGGAAGATAGATTAGTGTTGGTGCGTGACCGCAGAGCCCAAAGGACAACTGCTTGAGGCCGGTCACGCACGGCCTTTTGATGAAAGGATTTTTTAGTACTAGCTCCGCTCTTAAAGGCCCTTAGTGGGCACCCTTACCGACGGAGACGGAAATGCGTGAGGTAGGGTGAGGTGTGACATTTTTAGGGTCGACGTTTTCTAACCCTTCTTTCCTTGTGAGAAGGCAGCATCGCTGCAGATGCTGTTTATCCGAGGGAAACACCTTACTGCTGTCACACCCCTCTGCAGTCAGCAGTACGACTTCGCCTCAGACCTTGGGTAGATGCTTTTAGTCTCATCGTTCCCCAATCGACCTGCCTGGCATGGTAGAACCTTCAGGAACATATGTTCCAGCCAGTTTAGCTCAGTTGGGTCATCACGATAGGCAAGCCCGACCACCACGTCAAGGTAGCAGCTTCGGTCGGCAATTGTTCATGTAGGTTCTACCACACCAGGCAGGTCGATTGGAGAACGATGAGACTAAAAGCAGCAACAGAAGGTCTGATGGTGGAGTCGTACTGCTTACTGTATAGGGATGTGACAGCAGTAAGGTGTTTCTCTCGGACAACCAGCTTTGCAGCTATGCTGCCTTCTCACAAGGTAGAAAAGGTGGAACCTAAAATTGTCTCACTTCATCCTATCTCCCTGTTTTCCACCTACGGTGTAAGGCTATTCAAAGAGCGGAGCTAACACTACACAATCTCCTTGTCAGAAAGCCGTGCGTGATTGGTCTCAAGCAAAATGTTGTTTAAGGTTTGGTTGGCATCGGCATCTGAACTAGTGGTACGGGTTGAAGTAGTTAAGCGTATTGACATGGGAGTCTCATCAGTGCTGATGGCCTGGTTTGTGACGAAATCTCACTGCGTATGTTAAATGCTCGACTGGAATTTGCCAACTTGCGTCATTTATGGCGTAGGCGACATATCCATCTATCAACCAAAGGAAAGGTTTAATGAGCGACAGTTCATTCTATCCTACTATATGGCTGTAAAACATGGCCGCAAAGAATAGAGGATATTCGTAGGTCACTGGTATTCGATCATAAGTGTCTTCGAAGCATTGCTCGTATATTCTGAGACCACCGATTAAGCCATGGTCTTGTTAGGAAACGGGTACTAGGTAGGAATGGCAGGTCAGTGGAAATATTGAAACATCGTCAGTTGAGGGGTTTTGGACATGTGTTACGTATGCCCAACCGCTGACTGCCTCGAAGAGCGATGTTTTATGGTGTAAGAGTAGGTTGGAAGAAAGCTAGGGGCGGCCAAACCAAAACATGTCACAAATCCGTAAAGTTACTGACAACTAGATTGAGTCATCTTGGTAAGTGTGGACAATCTGGTTGGCATCCGCGCGATGATAGTAATCGATAGTTAGAGACCTTGGATGACATGGCTCAAAATCGTTTACAATAACGCAGACGCATATATTCTTTGGCTTGTCTCAAATCCTAATCTTCTGAATTCCTCATCACCTTTATCTTTCATTTTTAAGTTTATTTCATTGAATTTTACTTGAATAATATCTTCGAACCCAAATCTCTCGGATTACTGCTATTACCTCTAATACCTCTACTACTATATGATTTGAATTGATAATCGTGTCTACGTGCTAATGTGGTATAGCAACTTGAACTGGTGCACGTACGTATATACGAATTTCCGCGTTGTAACTGAGTAACTATGGGTATAAGAAATCTAGGCCTCCTCTAACAATCGGTGGTTCTATATGAACACGCTGATAGCATTACTTATAGTAGGGAGTTCACTAAACCAAGTTAAATGTCGGGTGACAAGTTTCGGCTCACATACGAAAGACTTATTTTAGCCTTCACCTATTTACACTTCCGTGATGGTACGTGGGATATTTATATTTTTTCAAAGTCTGGTATACTTTTACGCCTATTCATACTCTTGTAACGCTTGCTCAGATAATTCCCGGCTAAATCTTATTGCTTAGTATTCTTTGACACAAAACACTGGACAAGTCCACCCAAAGTAAAACACGGTTGAACAAGAATAAGAAGCCAGAGGTGATGGCGAAGGCAAAGATAAATATAATGCTAGTCTATTTGTAGCCTTTACATGAGAAAGCTTCTGGAAGAAAATTCACGTCATCGAGTGGATTAGATTTAACCAATCAGCATGCAGCTAATAATACGAGAATTTTCTACCCTGTTCTCCAAGCTTCGATCAGGCGCTGATTGGATAGGAAATTAGCCAATCAGCGCGCAGCAACATAGTTATGCTTTAATTCCATCTACGTCCCACTAACACCTCCCCTTTGAGAAAATTCGTAGGATCTGGTGCTAGAGTCCAACTGCTTCCTGGGTGCCTTGCCACCCGTACTCTTACAAGCCGCCTGCTTTGTAGGAGCCATATCTTTAAACAACCGTCGATTGGGCTGCTGTAATTTCAAAGTTGTGAAGCATTTGCCAAAGTAGAAAATATTAGGCTCTTGATGCCATTCAAGCATTTTCTTGTGGTTGGACTGCCAATTAAGTTATACCTACCTTATGCCAATAAGATAGGTCACTGGAGAAGACTTAGTATTATTCAGTGCGTCTCTTCATCTATTGTGGCTGTTTGCCCAAGAAAACCTACCAGTTTACTCAATCAGTGACATTTTTAAGTGCTAGCCTTCTAGTTTGATTCAATGAAATAACCAAGTTTGACTGTTAGAAATCAGGCGATATAGCTCGAGATTGGTCGTAATGATGCAGATGCATTCTGGTACGAAAAACTAGGTTGAGAATTTCATCCGTAAGTAAAAATATTTTCGCATTACAGCTTATCGAATCTTCGGGAAGACTGAAAATGACTTACAAAAAATAGTGTAGTTACACATACCGATATACTTTAGCAGTTAGAACCATTTTGGGCATAAATTACCTATTACAAAAGTTCAAAAGGTTATATATAATATTATCACTTCATCTGTCCTGTTTGGTTTCCTTGTTAGTTATCATGCTAACTTTTGTTTAGCCATAAGATACAGAATTCTTATCGAAAGTCTTTCTGGTACAATTGAATCTTAGGTTATGTCTGATGCATAATTTGGCATTAATAGGAACCTATGAACGTTTCGGTGAGTAGAGTAATTTGTACTGCTTCCAATCAGTTATATTAGTGACATCGTGTAAATGTTACATGTTTCTGTCAATTACACAGCCAGTTCAGGCTGAAATCTGAATTTGGTTACTGGTCAATTCTCAATAAATCATCGTCAGTAGATAGGTCGAAAAAATACTAGTTGTTCAAGATTCTATACAAACTCTGATATCTCAACTACTATACGTTTATTCTGGTTTATTGGAACATATCTTGCTGAAACACATTTTTTAAAATTTGGCTTGAGCTAAGCAAAGTGATCTAAGAAATTTAACCCCGTAACATTTTGCCGAAAATACCAGAATTATTAGCGAGATTTCGTAAATAGGAAGATCCATTTTCAAAATGTGAAAGTAACGTCTGGTTTTTACATCATGAAAGTAATATGTCGAAAAGATGCAAGGAAACAGTGATGACGCCAATTTACACCAAATATCTTGTTTCGTTCATCAACCGCATTAGTGCATGAGGCTAAATTTTTTGTTATTAAACGATTATTTAGTGAAGGACATGATATTTATATTCATTCCATTTTTTTCTTTAATAAATCCATATATGGTAGGATTTAAGGGGAATAATTATAGTTTATTTTCGTTTTTTCACACAAAGTAGGATTAATCTTTCTGCTTTTGCGGTTGTTTTTCTTATGCTTAGGTGAGAATATGAACTTAATCACTTAAGTATTCTTCCATAAAATAATTCACTATTTATCAGAAAATCGTTTGACGTAGACTTTTGGGCGCATTCACAAAATTGTTTTTCTGTGTAGCGACAATTATTTTTTCCTATTGCAAGTATACGTACTTCAGGTGAGTGGAGTTAATGTCTCTTGAACAGAATATGTTTCCTAGAAGTGATGATTGCAGTAGGTTATTCTAATTTTTGAAATATTTTAATCAGACAATGATTCAGCCAATCAAGATAGTTCACCCGCTATCCACGTGGATGATGTGCAGAGAATGGAAGCTCGTCTGCTAAAGTTGTTAGATGAACTTAATGTTGGGAAATCATCCTTCGGTATTGCACTATGACTCATATTCAGCAAAAATATAGGTCCGAATTGTCCTTATGAAAAACTTGATTCAATTCGAGAACAGCAAGAAGAACTTATGCGGTTGCATTTTGAGCAAGATAGAAAAATGATGTCAATCCTGGAAACCAACTCAACTCTCGGGCGGCGTCCTGTTAGAGCGTAATTAATTATCACTGAAAATATTCCTTTAGACTTTTAACGGACGAGGGTCGGAAAACTACGAAAGCAAATATTGATGCACTAGTCACACGAGTAAGTAGCTTCTTACTGTAACCTGAACGTTGGTTCTACTTTTTCTGTTAAATGTATTTGGTAGTTTTTTATAATACATAGATATTAGTCAATTTTCTTCACATACATAATGTGGTATTAAGATTTCATCATTGAACTTATAGAATCCTTTATTGGGCTAATTAATAATGTTATTTTGACTAACCGTTCATATATTTAATTGTATCATAATTCCCTGTCTTATCTGTTATGTCTCAAATCAGGGAAATGAAGAGAGTTACCTAGAAATCCCGGTCCTAGCCAATACCTTGATGAGGTTGTTTGGCTTGCCTGCCATGATGAAGTGACCGAGCTATATTGGCTGGAACGAATGTTCGTGTAGGTCCTACCACACCAGGCATCTCGATTGGAGAGCGATGAGACTAAAAGCAGCAACATCTTGTGACAGTCACAGAGTAATAAGTCTAACTAATATAGTATCTAAAATATTGGACTCAGTAATACTTGACGCGTAACTAGTGCTCGTGAAGAGCAAACTAGAGAATACCAGGCTGGTTTTCGACCTGGACGTAGATGTATAGGCCAAACATTCACACTACATCAGGTCCTAGAACAAGACACAGTCAGTCAGTCAGTCAGTTGCAACGTAGAACTTCGTACGTATGTACATAAGTTCATGTTGCCATACCACATTATTAGCACAGAGACGCAAATGTCTAATCAAATCCCATAGTGATAAAGATGGTAGAGGTATTAATGTTATAATAAAGAAGACTAGGGTTTAAGATATTATTCAAAAAATATAATTCAGTGAGATAAGGTTAGAAAGAAAAAGGTAGAGGTGCTGGCTAATCCAGAAGATTAGGATTTGAGAGAGCTCAAAGAGTGGATGCACCTGCGCCATTGCAAACGATTTTGAGCCATGTCGTTCAAGGTCTCTAACCATTGATGACTTTCGTCTCGCGGACCCCAACCAGGTAGTCTACATCTACCAACATGACTCAGTCCACTTGTCAGTGACTTCATGGATTTGTGCCATGTTTTGGTCTGGCCGCCCCTAGCTTTCTTCCACGTTCCGCAGTAGTAGTTTTTCTTGACCTGAAAGCGTCATTCGACTCCGTTGATCGTGAGGTCCTATGGCGCTGTTCGTCACTAGAAGGCGAACCAAAGAAATACTGTCATCAGAATTAGTTACTTCAAGTGGTGTCTGTCAGGGCTGTCCACTCTCCCGATTCCTGTTTAACTTTGTCGTAGATGTGCTTTTAGAGTTACCATTATCATCGTCTGACTTTTCAGGAGTGGACCTTCTACCAGGAGACACGCTTGCTGCCTTAAAACATGCTGAATACGTAGTCCTATTTGGTGAGGACGCTGACAGAATGCAGTCTTCTAACTATCCTAAGCAACAAAGCAAGCACGTTCGAGATTCGATTTTCCCCTCGAAATGCTCAACGTTGCTTCAAGATTGGGTTGCATCGGCATCTGAACTAGTGATAGGGAGTGAAGTAGTCGAACGTGTAGACCGCTTCACTTATCTTGGGAGTCTCATCAGTGCCGATGGCCTGGTGACTGACAAAATCTCAGCACGGATACAGAGGGCTCAAATGGCCTTTACCAACTTTCGTCACTTATGGCACAGGCGAGATATCCATCCGCTAACCGAAGGACGAGTGTACTGTGCAGCAGTTCGCTCCGTCCTACTGTACGGATGCGAGATATGGCCGTTAAGAGTAGAGGACATTCGTAGGTTACTAGTCTTCGATCATAGGTGTCTTCAAAGCATCGCTCGTGTATCCTGCGACAACCGAGTAAGCAATACTGTCGTTAGGAAACGAGTTCTAGGTAGGGATGGCAAATCAATAGATGAAGTAATGAAACTCCATCAGTTAAGGTGGTTGGGACATGTATTACGTATGCCCAACGACCGACTGCCTTGACGAGCGATGTTTTGTGATCTAGTAGGTTGGAAGAAAGCTAGGGGCAGCCAGAGCAAAACATGGCAGAAATCCATGAAGTCAATAACAAGTGAACTGAATCATGTTGGTAAATGTAGGCTACCTGGTTGGGATCCGCGAGACGAAAGTTACCAATGGTTAGAGACCTTGAACGACATGGCTCAAAATCGCTTGCAGTGGCGCAGGTGCGTTCATTCATTGTGTTCTCTCAAATTCTAACCTTCTGAATTCCTCATCTCCTTCATTTTTTCTTTTTCTAAATTCATTTCACTAGATTGTACTTCTTGAATAGTTTCTTCCATCCGTAATCTTTTCCATTACCGCTAATACTTTTGCTGCCTCCACTCTTATGGGATTTGAATCGACACTAACGTCTCTTTTCTAATGTGGTCTGGCAACTTTAACTGATGTACGTATGTACGAAGTTCTGCGTTGTGGCTGTCTAACTATAAATGTCTACTAGCCTGCCTACACAACTTTTCTCCTAACGCTTTCGTTAATTAGTTCACACAATCGGCTTTCATCTGATGGTTTTCGTATTCGAGTTTATTGCACTTCCTTTAGTTTGTAAAGTTAAATACTGCTTATTCACTTAATTTCAGACTACTAGCTATTATCGTCTTACTTAATTAAATCTAATATTTAATCTACTGACTGAAATTTTGTGAAGCAATTAAAAATTAAGTATGTAATAGGTAGGTAGTTTATCACGGTCGCTTTAAGTGTCAAGTCACTAAAAACTAATAAAATATAGTTATCTTAAAGTCTAAGCTCCACTTCATCTGCTTGGTTTTCAGATGTAACTTTAACCTCCACACGAATAGTGTGACTCAAAATTGAGTACATAAACCTGTATCTTGTAGGCGAGCTCTATTACAGTATTAGTATCACATCAGCTTTTAGATTCCTGATATATTCATGAGAAATAAGTGCTACAGATTATAATTTACTACGATGGAGTATATCATTGAGGAAGTGGAGAATATCATTGGCTACTTTTCAAAATAAGTCATATTAAGGTAGCATGAAGTACACTCCATTCCTTTGATTTCTACTTCACCTCGACACTGTTTGAAAACAAGTAAAATAGATTTACCCTTGTTACTGAGAAATAAATTGTACACATGTCGGGTTGATATCTATTTCTTAGATGGTATTTGAAGATTATATGACTGATTTATTCAGTATGTTCGATCTAGTTCGAAACAAAAAAGGAATATAAAATATATTTCATTATTTAGGTATTAAAAGAATCTAAGGTTCCCCGAATATATTTTTCTTTATGATTCGATCATTCTTAATTATTACTGTTACGATTACTCACTTCTTAAATGACAAATAATCCACTCATCATATTTTGGTTGAATAAAAGCCTCTGTTTTCCTAATAGACATATGTTTATATACTCAAGATCTTTTGAGACCTGTTTGGTTGGAGGTTGAGGTATCAAGTATCTCAGTGAATTAGCGATATGCACAGTCACTGCAACATTTTATTAAGGAGTCATGAAAATTAAAATTGGTCTATCTTATTTCTTATCATATCATTTTTTTAAATGTTGGTGTAATGTGTGTTCTTTTAATCCTGACTGATTCATTATCTCACCGTATTTTTAGCTGGAGTCTCTGAGTTATGCAATGTGAGTTAATTTATCCCACTTTTATTATCAATATTAGAATTAATATGTAAATTGTTTAATAATTTGTCCATCAGTTTCGTTTTTCGCCACATGTGCTTTTGTGTCACTGAGTCACTCATATGCATTCCCCTAGAATTCGCTCTCTTTATAGTATTCTAAGTTCTGATTGTCTTATAGGCTGGTATCAAAAAATGAAATAATTATTGTTTCTTATCGCCAGCATAGAGTTAGGCTCATATTGAGAAGCATAATTTTAAAATCAAATGAAATACACTACATCTTAAGCTTACATTTAATCTACGGCAGCCCTATCACAAAATATGGCTTCACTACTCTTGCGAAAGTGGTTCAATTATAACACTGAAGATTATGACGATGGACGATAACTTAGGATACATTTTCCACAAATATATAGTTATTTTTCTCTCACTAGTACCTTATCACACACTTGTCATGATATATCATACTTGTCATAAAAACACCTCAAAAATTTAATTTCAAGTTTAAAGTTGGGTGTTTAAACTTAAATTTCACATACTATGATATTTTGGATTATGCATGCCACGTTGAACTGTTGAACTCCGTCAATCGAAATGTTTGATGGCATAATCGACCAAAGTATGTGCCTTGAAAATTTTTCAAAAAACTGAGGAGTTTCTGCTGTAATTCTTATAGACGCGTGACGACCGCTATATGGTGTTGACTGAGTCTGCCCTCAACGTATTGCTCAGACTTGTACTTCTGAAAACAGTAATTCACCTGACTTTTATAGTGCTTCAAACCTCAAAATTTCATCACGTATGTAAACTAGAGTTTTGTATTTTCATGTATGTGGAAAGCATTCGTTATTCTACACTCAACATCATAAACCCTGTGGTGAATATTGACTTTACTTTTCTTTCCAGACATAACCTTCACTACACCAATAGACCGCGGTCGTAATGTCAATAAACCTTTATCCAACAAGAAATATTATTCCGTTGATTTGTAGTGTATATTCTTAAATTGTCAATTAGCAGTGATAACTAATGTAACTCGAGGAATATCAATAACATTGATTATCGATATTTTAATTGTGTCCAAGATGAAATAATGGTTAAACCTAAATTGTCGATTCTTCCTATACTTACTATAGTGTTTCTTAGCATAATAAATATATGTCATCAGTTAGTTGTTTCTTCGACTCCTGTTGATTGATACAATCTTGTATTACTCTATTACTACGTATTACTATGCAAAATCTCTTCTCTTGGTTCGGTACCTTACTGCTATCGATTTAATCATCTCAGTGAACTAAATGTCTTCGTTGGATACGAAGTTGACAAAAAATGGTCGATACAATTATCGAACAATTTAAACGGGAAATCAGTGAAGTATAATAAATGATGAGGTGCTACATCCTGTCGCTTGAACCGATAGATTCTGAGAGCCGGTATTCACTAATTATGTTTCGACCCTATGCGCACTTATAATCTAAAAAAGTATCACATTTAGACTGCGTAACCGAATTCTTAAATGGCCTAAGAAGATTGCGCTTTGTTATAATGCAATGATGCATTTCGTTACTGTGAACCCATAGTTTACTATATTTTTAAAGATGCTGACTAGTGTTTATGTGATACTGTGAAAACGTAAACGATGAAAGGTAACCTGGGGAACCAATTACGAATCTTGTCACAGGCTTCGGTTTGGGATATCTAAGTTTATGCAACTCCTGTGATATGTTTAATGGAAAAAGCCTTACTCGGAATACTCTAATTTAGTAATTAAAAAACGTTAAATGACCACCGCCCTCACCAGTGTACTTCCCTGAACATCACTTCGCAATATAAACCCTTACAACTCAAAGCCGTGTTAGCAACTCGTTTATTGTGATTTTACATATATCAGGATGTATATATGAATCAATATGTGGGAAGTTAAGTAGGAATCCCAGAAAAATAGCTTCTGTTTCTCTTCTAAAGATATGTATGACAGTTATGCTATGTAGAAATTCTATTGTGTTACATGGACGAGATATCTGTAGACCAACTGAAGTACCAGTTTACCAAGCAGTCGGCTCCTTTTTTTCTGCGTGAAATATGGTCTTCAAGAACAAGGGTGCTTCCAAAGCATTGCTGGTATATTTTGGGACAATCGATTTGGTGATCGGAGTTATGCACAGAACACTAAGTAACTGCTATATCAGGAGCACTGGAGTAGTGGTAACTTCCAGCTGTTATGAGATTTATTATCCTTAATCTGTTGCTAACATATTGTGAGCAGTCTTATTCACAGCCACTGTTGGCTTCCTCATGTTTAATTGTATCTTCTCATTCATTCATCGTGTGGTGCAATCTGAAATGCTTACATACAAACAATGTCTGCTCGAAATTTAACGATCTCGTGGAGGCTAGTTACGGACTTCGTGACTAAGAAACAGGGTTAGAAGGAAGATACTATCAAAATTGGACCAATAGGGATTTACAGCTGGCTCATTTTTTGGTGCTAGGACATAATTCTGATCTTTGTATTGTATTTGTCACGTGATATTGATCAACGTTTAGAGATATAGAAATTAGTGACGAGTAAACAGTTAGAAAATGTCCATATCAGTAGGGGCTTTTCGTATAGCTGTGGTGTGAGCTACTTATAAGTAGTATATGACGTGAAGACTGAGGCAGGCTCGATAGATTGTATTTAGCAAATTTACACTCTTAGTCAATTAAAAACGAAAACATTACATTGAACACTCTATTTGCACACCATCTTTGAGTCCTGACTTCCAACGCTCCAGCCTTCTTCCATTCCTGCTGCTGCTTCCTTAACTTCCTGTCGGTACTCCATTTGCTTTCCGTTTTCCTCTAGTGACCGTGAGAGTTCTTCTTTCACGTCCCTTCTTATACTACTTATATCGTTCGTTTAAGTAGCACACACCACACTCGTCCCTCCTTTAACAAGTCGCTCTCTCAACCTTTCTGATCGCCGTACAGCCGTCTTCTTTATCAGTGTTTGTGGCTCGCCCTCTTGGCGCACTTGAAACCACCTTTGGAGTTCACTGGCATTCACGCGTTTCTGTTTGTTTCCTTTCTGGATCGTATACACTGCGCCGCGCCTCTCGGTGATGACGTACGGTCCCTCCCGCTTCGGGATCAGCTTACCTGACCCTGGCCCTCTTCCTGTGGTACATTTCCGTTCTCCACACTTCACTTGGTCTCCCACTTCAAACGGTCTCCAGTTCTTTCTCTCCTGTTCTGACTTCTCCATGTCTGATGTTTGTTTCTCTCTCACATTCCTGATTGTTTGTCTCCGCTCTGTTCTCAACCTTGTTGTATTCCATCTCTGTTGTTGCGGCCAGATTTTATCATGCGTTGGTAGTCTCGGCCGTCTGCCATACATCAGCTAGAACGGTGACTTCCTGGTTGTTCCCTGTGCCGAAGCACGATGTGCCAGCAAGATTAATGGTAATTCTTTTTTCCAGTCACCCCCTTTAGATACTAGCCATTCCTTTAGCGTTCGGTTATTCCTTTCCGTTAACCCATTTGTCTGTGGATGATACGGCGTTCTTCGTACTCTCTTGATACCTAACCTTACAGAGAGAAACAACCGAACGTTAAAGGAATGGTTAGCATCTAAAGGAGGAGATTGGGAGAAAGAGTTACCATTGATTTTGTTGGTGCATCGTTCCTCCGTACAACGTACAACCAAGAAATCACCCTTCTCGCTCATGTATGGCAGACAACCGCGACTTCCATTGCACAATAAGACCCGGCCACAACAACAGAAATGGACAACAACAAGGTTAAGAAAAGAGAGGAGGGAGGCAATCAGGAACGTGGGAAAGAAACAAATATCAGACATAAAGAAGGCGGAACAACAGAGGAGAACGTGGAAACCTTTTGCAGTGGGGGACCTAGTAAAGTGTAGAGAACAAAAAAGTGGCATAGCAGGGGAATTAGGGTGGGGAAAGCTAATCCCAAAGTGGGACGGACCGTATCACGGAGAGACGCGGCGCGGTGTACACGATCCGGAGAGAAGACAAGCAGAAGCGCGTAAATGCTAGTCAACTGCAGAGATGGTTTCAAGATTATTCAGTGTATGAGTCACGAAAAGCACCAAGGAAGACAGCGGTATGGCGATCAGAAAGACTACGACGACAACTTATTAAAAGGGGGGACGAGTGTGGTGTGAGCTACTTATAAGTAGTATATGACGTGATCGTCAACGTAATGTCTGGCAGCAGAAGATGGGGGAAGATCAAGAAAGGAAGAGTTAGAAAACAATAGAATTTGAATGAAACGCATGAATAGTGACAATGGATTGATGTTTGGCAACAGGAACAGTCCAGTTCGATATGATGAACTGATATTTTGCAAATGAACAATTTACGATATGGTTTTCCTATTTTGCTGAGTAACTCTGTAATTTTCGTTAAATACATTTCGGTTGCCCCACCTGTGTTCTCGTTCACTACATAGCAACATAAACCATTTGAAGTCATTTGCAGATAAACGGGAAGATTCAAAATTCGCTCATTTTTCTGTGTGATTCTCCACCTATCGAAATCAGTTACCGAATCGATTTCTGGTCCACATAGCACAGTTTGGTTCGATGCCTAGTAGAACAGAAATGACGGTTCATTTGAAATTGATATGGCTGGTCCAGACAAGGGTACGCAATTGAGGGCTGTCAACACAAATTTACGAACAAGTAGATAAATACAAATGTACGAATTTGATTCCTACAAAATTTTCCAGGCTTCAATTTTTATGACACGGTTAGTAAATTTCAGAAGGCCTTTGGTAAAATATCCTCCTTATCCGACATGCGTTACAGTTGCTGAAAGTATTCCAAAAACTTGGTAATTATTTCCTCACTTATGCTGGTAAGGTAGGTTGCGATTACGATCGTCATAATCTAGGTTTGTTAAGCCTAAAACAATTAAGACGCTTAGTCTTTTCAGAAAATAATCCCCATCTAATTCTAAAGTACGCACTCGAATTTCAGCTGAAATGGGACTCGATACTCGTGACGATGAGGTCCCAGCGCTTCTTAAATTTAGGGCAGTACACGAAACCGACAGAAATTCCACAGTATGGTAAGTCAGTTGCTGGTATTTTTCCGGAACAACTTCTGTAGACTTGATAGTGTCCTGTCAAAATTTGGCTTGTCTGGTTTCCATTTACGTAAAAATAGGTGCTAATTATGATGGAAACCATCGAGTAGCCTCAGTTCGTTATCAAGGGTATCGTCTGATTGTTAGGTTTGCACTTCTTTTGGTTCTATATTGAGATGATATAAATATACTTCTTCGCGAGATTACCAAGTTATGTCCAGAAGTCAGAGAGAAGACTGTTCTGGATGGAAAAGTATGTTTGTCGCTGGCCTCGTGATATCGAAATGATATCAAGAACAGAATAGAGAAGTGACTAACAACCACCGATGAGAGAAGCAGAATGGGAGTGGCAGGCTTGGCACGCGAGAGATAGTCTTTAGTACAGATAAACAAAAGGAGTAAAATATAACAATTATTGCTAGAATTAAGTACAACAATAAATGTTTCCATTTCGGCAGTTGTGTTATCTTCGAAAAAGTAAACCACTACAGTCCCCCTTATGTATTTGCTTCGTGTGGGTCTGTCCATTTACACCAGAAGAATATGTATGCGGTAAGGGTTCTGCCAAGTCAAGATGAACATAGCCTAAGCAAGCAGATAGCAACTAAAGGAAATCTAAAATGTCCACTGCAATACATTCGCACATAAAAGTAAAAACCAATCGTCTGTGGCTAGTGGTTTGGTTTATTTAGATTCAGTAAGAGCAGAGAAGTACAGAATCTAGCTAGCATCGACTGGCTGTCTTAATATTTAGAAGTATCACGTGCGCTTCAAATTTAACGTGGCTTCTCTGACTTCCCTCCATTTACGGGGAACAATCCATTTCGGACTCTAGTTTGGGATATTTAATCACTGTGAAAGCCAAAAAAGTTGTCTCCATTCACAAGTCGACAAGCTGAGTAGGATTTCGGGCAAACGGAATCATTCCAAGTCAGAACCATTGTGTGGTAGGTCTAGCTGCCTCGATTAACTGCTCTCTTTCTAGTTGCTTCGGCAGCATACACACTTTCACTCACTCACAAACACAGGACTTGTAGTCAAGTTGCTGGATACACGCGAATTTAATTACTAGGACAGTCAAAGGTAAAGTTGCAATTTTGTAGTACTTTCCGACTATTCCTTGTAGTTATGTCATACACTATTAAATTCTTTCCTGGATTCCCATTTTGTGTCTTAATTATCTCGGCTATCA